CCCAGATAGGAGGTGGGAGGGGGCTAGGTGTGAGCAGGTCGTTTTGTTCTCTGGGACCTTGAGACCCTTGGAACACAAACAAGGCAAAGGGGCTTGCAGACCCTCCCTAGGGTCTGCCATTAAAGAAGGAAGGTTTCAGCTTGTGGCAATGCCAGGTGCCCCATCCCACCCGCAGACACCCACACACCTCCATCCCCATACTCACTCCCTGGCATCCAAGACGGACTGGGCATCACCCTCCAGCTCCTCCATGTGGCCCAGGAGTTGCTCGAGGAAGTGCTCACTGGAAGACTCACCCTGCAAAGCCAGGTGCACAGCCAGGGCCTGCAGGATGGCACCATTGTAACCGAGGGAGGAGGCGTGTGTCAGCTGGGCTGAGAGCCGGGCAAACTAGGGACGAGAAGACCTGCTGTCATAGAACCCACACTGCAGAAGAGGGAGGACAAAGCCCAGAAGCCAGCCCACCCTGAATACCTTCTGCACATCCTGCACACTGCTATAGGCCAGGGAGATGCCGGCCACCCGCATGGCGCCCCCATTGCCATAGGAGCCTTTCCCGTTAAACTGGGCCCGGGCAGGCTCATAGACATCGCGACACTTGGGGTTCAGGAGCTTCTTGAAGACAGTGATTACTCCAGCACCATAACCCCTGTCAGGGTCTTTCTTGTACTCCTGAGCAAACCTAGGGAGAGAAGAGAGACAGAACTGGGGTTTCAATGATGCCTCTCAGAGTTGGGAAAGAAAACTGGGCTGGTTTGGAAAAAGAGGAAGCCTTGGGGACCTAAGGATGTACCAGCAGTGCTGTCATCTTTAGCTTGGGAAGCTGTTTCAGCCTTAGACACAGGGTCCTGCCGGGTTGGGGGGGTGGTCCTGGGCATGCACAGACATTCCTCTGGTCAAGGGGTGTGGTAACTCTGCTCACTCGGTTTGCCTAAACCCAGGACCACGCCCCTTACCTGTGAGCCATGTCCACTTCGTCGAAGGCCTCCTTGGCTAGCAGGGACTGCACCAGGGCCCTGGCCATGGCTGTGTCATCTGTGTAGTACAAGGCTTCTGTGGGGAGAGGATGGGGCTGAGGCGAGCTGCAGGGCTCCACAGTGGAGGCCTCCTGCTCATTCCTTTTAGAGCTACCACACCCACAACCACCTAAAGTCAGCTTCTCCTGCCCAGTGTTCTGGGCTTTAGGAAGCCCTAGGATTTCAGCCCTAGGATTTTCAGCAGTTCTTTATTCTGAGTCAATCACTGTGGCCCACTGATTTCTGAAAGAAAACCGTCCATCCCCTTCTGGCTGCCACCCCTGCAGCTCCGGTCTTAGTACAACCTGCTTGGGCTATAGGCAGAGCCTCTTAAACCTGCACGTTTCCCACCCTCCGATCCAACCTACCCACGCAGCCTGAGCGTTCCTCCTAAGAGTAGACTACCACCTTCCTCAGCTCATTCTCCTATTCAAAATGGCTCTCTGCTGCCTTCAGGATGAGGTCCAAATTCGTGGCCCTGGCATTCAAAGCCCTTCTGTGTCAAGCCCCTTCCTTCCTTCCTTCCTCCCTCACCCATCTTATATCCCACTGCTTCCCTACACATACTCAGAACCAGCTGTGGGGCTGGGATCGGGTTCCTCCCAGCCGGGGCTGCTCCCATCCCTCCACTCGCCCCATCTCCTTTTCCTGAGTGCCCGTGAAGACTGCCCTGGCGCTTCCGACACTGCAATGCGGGTCATTTGTGACTTCTCAATCAGGCTACGAGCCTGCCAGGGACAGGGGACTGGTCTTATTTGTGGAAGAGCTGCTTACAGAGAATGAAGCCCCCTTTCCCATTTCTTGAATGGCTGCTGCACCCCCTCTCGGCATCTCCCAATCCCCAAGCCCTGCTTTCCTCTTCCCTTCCCACCCCTGGGTGGCCCTTACCTCCTGCTCGCCAAGAAGAGCAGCTAACAGGTATCTTATCTGTAACTGCACTCCCCAGGCCCCCTCAGAAGGGGTGAGTCACCCTTGGTCCAAGACGAAGCCATCCCAGTCCCTTCCCCTGGGGACCTAGCTCTCCTTTGTCCCTTCTCTCCTGTATCCTCAACCTCTCCCTCCTCGGGGGAACAGCATCCATTCTGTTTTCGTTAGGTCACTGCACCCATTCTCCCGCAGGAACCACCTTTCTCACTCTCAGTCCAGGTGACTAGGGCATGGCACCAACCCCACCTCCAGCCTAATCAAACAGCACCCCCATTCCCTTCTTTAGGGATGGACATATGACCTAAGCCAGGCCAGTGAGACCCAATCTGGGACTTTGGTTGGGAATGCTGCAAAGAGAAACTCTTCCTCTGCTGGAGCTGCTGAGCTGGGAGGAGCAAGGAGCTGCTGGGGGCCGTCCCATAGGAAGGGCCTGCCAGAGTAAGTGAAGACCACCCAGAAGAAAGTAGATCTGAACAACAGAGAGGAACTGAGCCTTGGGGAGATGATCTGAGTCCCTGGATTCAGCTCTGCTTGCAGCCAGACCTACCTCTGCACTTTCCAGTTAAGTCAGCCAATATAATCCCTTTTTACTTAGGCCATTTTGAGTAGGGTTTTTTTGTCACTTGTATCCAAAGGTCTTAAAACATCTCTTAAGCTAAAACATACTTTTTCCTCATCTTAACATCGAACCAAAAATGAAATAAAAACCCATCCCTCCATTTGTCTTCACAACTATTATATAACTCATCTCTCTCCTTCCCTTCATACCAAACCATACTATTTTCTCATTTTCCATTTCCTCCTTAACCACTGAAAATGCTTTTCTAAATCCAGATTTTTCCCCCTTTATAGTGCGACACCAGTGTCTTCATCTTGAAATTTTTTTTTTTTTTTTTCTGGAGACAGAGTCTCACTCTGTTGCCTGAGCTAGAGTGCCACGGCATCAGCCTAGCTCACAGCAACCTCAAACTCCTGGGCTCAAGCGATCCTACTGTCCTCAGCCTCCTGAGTAGCTGGGACTACAGGCATGCGCCACCATGCCCGGCTAATTTTTTCTATATATTTTTAGTTGTCCGATTAATTTCTTTCTATTTTTAGTAGAGACGGGGTCTCGCTCTTGCTCAGGTTGCTCTCGAACTCCTGAGCTCAAACAATCCGCCTGCCTCGGCCTCCCAGAGTGCTAGGATTACAGGCATGAGCCACTGCACCCAGCGCATCTTGAAATTCTTTTCCTAGGTATGGCTGATAAGGCCTCCTGCTTCTCCTATCAAACTGTTTCCTTCCCTTACTCCCTTCCCCCTCCTCCACCTTGCTCTTAAATATGGGCGTTCTCCAAGGTTCTGACTATGGCTCCAGGAAAACTCACATCCTCTCCTTGACCTCAGACCTGCTACCTGAGCTGAGATCTCGGTGATGAGCTGTCTACACGAGGGAAGTAAAGGGGAAGAGGAGTTAGCTTTAGGGAAGGGACAGCAGGGTGCAAACGCTCGTGCTAGAGGAAGTATGGCGTGAGAGGAACCCAAGGACGGAAAGCAAGGCCAAGGGTGGCATAAGATGAAATCGCAGATGCAGCGGAGGTAGGGCCAGGTAGGACAAGTTGAGAAATTTGGTTCTAACCTAAGGGTAATTGGGAAATCACAGCAGGGTTTTATGCGGGGAGGACACGACCAGATTTATGCTTTGAGAGGTGCGCTCCCTGCAGTGTCGTGAATGAGCTGGTGGTGTACAGATTCCAGAGAACTGGATAAAACAGGCCAAGTCAGCAAGGCAGGGGGTATACAGATGGTATACAGATGGTCCAACTTAGCATTTCTGGCTTTACAATGGTGCTAAACCAATATTCATTCAGTAGGCTCCGCGACTCAGGATGGGGCTAGGCACACTGTAAGTTGAAAATGCCACTTTTGACTTAGGATATTTTCGACTTACTATGGGTTTATCGGCAGGTAAGCCCATCATAAATCGAGGGCATCTGCATACTGGAGCAGGCGCAATCCAGGAGAATGACGCCCAGGTTTCTGGCTTGCACAGCTGAGACGGCGGTGTTGCCATGCCCCGACATGGGGAACGTTCGGGGCGAAACGTGTAAAAAGGAGTTCGGACTTGGACCCACGAGTCCGAGGTGTCTGCGGGTCATCCGACTCCGGCCCCGCTGCCCTGGGCAGCCTCATCTCCGCCTGACCATCACAGCCTGACCGGTCCACACCCAGGACTCTGTCCCCTCCCGCTCCCTCCCTGGAGGCCCCGTGGGCGGGGCGTGACCCATGTGCGCCCGGCCCCGCCCACCTGTCCGCGCGCTCCCTGGCGTGCCGAGGTCGGGCTCCAGGCTCTGGACGTGACGCAGGACTGACGTCAGGTCGACGGTGTCGTGGGCCTCGTAGATGGCGCCCACGCAGTCCCCGAGCAGCGCGCCAGCCAGGCAGCCTCGGAAGCGCGAGAGGGAGCGGGCCGCGCCAGCCCCGCCGCCTCCCGCAGCCGTCATCGCCGCCACCACCGCCATCCGCGCGCCGGCCAGCCGCCACTTCCGGTGCCGCAGCGCCGCTTCCCTCCTCCCTGGCCCACAGCGCCTCCCAGTGGCCTGGAGCCTGCGCGCCGTTCCCCGGCGCACAGCACCCCCAGCGGCCCGGAGGCGCGGCGCCGCGCAGCCCCCGCCAGCCTCGGCTTTGAGTTCCGGTTCTCCTCACTGTGAATGGCCAGCACAACCGGTCATGACGGCCACTGAAGGGTCCCGGACTCGGGCCCAGACACCCCCACTGAGCTCTCCCACTGTGCTCCTGGCCCCCTCTGGATCACCCTTAGGCATCAAAAGGGCAGGCAAGGGCCTGCTGGGGCAGGGGCAGAGCTAGGTGGAGGCTCCGCTGCTAAAGCCCTGGGAATGGTGGCCTAGCCCAGAGAGGGGTTCCCTGAGGGGAGGAGGAATGGATTTTGGAGCATGGACTTTGGGGGGATGATGTTCCCCATCTGTGCTCCTCCATACACAGGAGGGCAGGTCAGAACCCTCTCCCTCCTGTGGGCTCCGTGCAGGGGTGCAGGGGTAGCAGAGAGCAGCGTAGCCTAAGAACCTACACATTTATTAGATTCAGTCTCTCCTGCTTCTTCCATTTCCCACCCAAGCTTCAGCTTCTCCTGCTCCCTCAGCCCTCCAGGGCTAGGCCAGCTCCAGCTGGCAGCTTTTGAGTGGACTCAGGGTGCGGTTTGTGGTCCGGGTGAAGGTGTCCACCTCAGGCACAAACTTCTCAGCAGGCACAGTCAGCTTGCGCCGGGTGTCCATGCACTTGGTGTCCAGCAGCATGGAGTTGGCCTTGCAGGCAATATCAGCCTGCAGCCGGGCCAGGTGCTTGTACAGGGCGTCCAGCGCGTCCCTGGGGAGGAAGCATTGACAACCCACCACCCCTGCGTGAGGCCGGGAGGTGTGGGCTGGATGCGCCAGCCTTCAGTGAGGAAGACAAAGCCCGGGGGAACAGGTAGGCAGCAAGAGGCCCCATCGGAGGGCGGTGTCTCTCTGCCCCTCCTGCCTACTCCCAAACCTACTGTGCTTGTGCCAGCTTCTGCTTCAGGGCGGTGATGGTCGCCTCTAACTGGTGAACCTCGTCAGTGAGGCTGTACTGGGCCTGGAGGCAGAGGGGTGGGTTGGGAGTCCCGGGTCAGCCATGCTGTCCTTGACCGCAGGCCTGAGTGCTGCCCTGTGGCAGCGCCCTTGCTCCACCAGGAATGTGTGCTGGGGTGTGATCCTGAGGGAACCTTAGCAAGGGGGCCCGTGCCCCAGTAGGACACCCTCGCACCTGGTCCCGGCAGAGTTCCACATTGGGCCGGCAGGTTCTGGCCTCTAGCCGGGTATGGGACAGCTTCAGGTTCAGTAACTTTCTGCGCAGATCCTCCTCCAGGTGCCGGATGTCCTCCTGCAGCTCAGCGATCTCCTCCAAGGTCTGCAGGGGACAGAGTGACTGGTGTCCACCAGGTGAACTCACCACGGTGCAGCTACTCCAGGGCTTCCTGGCTGGGCATCCGGCTCCTCATCCCACAGCAGCAAGTCCGGGCCCCAGGAGAAGGCTCACGTTCTTCTCCTGCCACTTGAGCTCACTGTACACTTTCTCCATCTCCCGCAACCGCTTCCTGAAGGCAAATTCTGTTGTGACCCTCTGGGCTTCGAGCTCGTTGTTGGTCTGAGGACAGGAGGCAGGCAAGGCAAGGAGAGGGATAAGCTCATGGCCACCTGAGGATGTTGCTCAAGTGAAGGGAAGGGGTGCCACGTGGTCAACAGGGAACAAAAGGTCAGGGCTGGCTGTCCACTCGGGCCACCCATTAGCTGTGGAGGAGCAGGCTGGGGGGTGGGCAGTCACCTCGGCAATCGTCAGGGCGATGGCCTCCCTCAGCTCCATGGCTGCTTTCATCTCTGCCTCCGCTTGGGCCTTGTTGAACTGACTGAAGTCATCCCACTCCTGGAGTGTGGTGGAGCTGCAGGTGGCAGGAAATAACAGGGTCCTAAGGGTGTGGCCCATGAGGGGAGGAGAGACGGACTGAACACTCCTCTTACCCCTTGGGGACACGTGTGGGATTGATCTTCAGAGAGATGTTTGGGGACGCGAGGTTGAGAGAGAGACAGCCTCTGTCGATCTCCAGCGTCTCCATTTTGCCGCGGTGGTCAGAGCTGAGCTGCTGTCGGACTTCCTGCAGGCGGCTGGGGAGAGTGCAAACTCCATCAGGAACCAGCCCCCAAGGCCCCGGGATGCAGGCCTCATCGGACTAAAGGGACACTGAGGGACACTGAGGCTGGGACGACTCTTCCCAGCAGAAAGCACTGGAGCTGCTGCTGCAGCTGAAACGAAGACCAGCACAGCTAGATGAGCTGCCCATAGACAAAGCGGTGACACCGAGTGCTCACACACACCCATGGGGCGCAACACTCACACGTACACACTCACAATAAGGCACTCAGGGGTGCCGGCCAACGGGCTTTATCTCTCATGCTTTCAATCAATTGATCCTGGCTGCCTAGAGCCAGGTCGTGCGTGAGACGTACTCTGAGACCATGTCCAGGCAGTGGCAAGAGCGCTACAGTCCATTGGCGGTTTCTGTCACAGGCACGGGAGGGGCCAAAGGTAGCATGAGAGCCAGCTGCCATTGTCCCATTATCCACGATACCTGTGTTCCGCATTTGAGGCACCTGCAAGTGCTCGTGAACGTGCCAGTGGCCCATCTCCCCCTTACCAGAGCTGCTCGAAGGCCTGGCTGATCTTCTGTTGCAAGGCCTTCCTGGTGGCCTCGATGACCTCCACCTCCTTATGCAGCTCATTCTCCACAGGGTCCTTGACCACATCAATGTCTCGCCGACTCTCCCGCAGGGTCAGACACTCGATGGCCACATCCAGAGGCAGGTTCTTGGCCTGCAGGTTTTGCTCTGTTGACTCCTTCAGCTAGAAAAGGGGGCACAGGAGGCTGGTGGAGCCATGACAGGGAAGTAGCTCTTATCCCCACTTTAGCAGAGGGGCCAGTGAGTGTCTTGGAGTGACATGCCACTCACGACCCCCAACCCAGATGTGGGGATCGAGGGGGCGGGTCTTCGCAGCACTGCGTCCCGGCACCCAGCGCTAGCTGCCTGCCTTTGTCAGGGTGTCGATCTCAGCGTCTAAATCCGTCAGACTCTTGCCTAGCATCTCCTTCCACCGGTTGACAGTATCGATTCTCTCTGCCAGTCGAGTTCTGTTGTCATGTTCGTCCCAAATGGTCTGGAAGAGACAGAGCCAGATAAAGAGGGTGTCAGCGGATGGGGGCTAGCCCTTTGCCCACCCGACTGGGCTCTTGCCCCCAACCTGGTTGTTGGTCTCGTTGCGGAGGACTCGGGCCTCCTGGCGGATCTGATGGGAAGCATCTCGCTGCCGCTCGGCATTGGTGGACAGCAGGCAGCTGTTGGTGTGCCAGTCGGGCAGCTGGAAGCGCTGGCTCGGCTTGACACTCAGTGTGGCCATGGTTCAGGGACCGGGAGGGTCAGAACCGCCTAGGCCTGTTCCTCCACCACCTGTAGAGGGCCAACAGGGCTGCAGGAGACCATTTGGGAGAAGGCTTCTGGAGCAAAGACCTCGCCGCCCCACACAGAGGCAGGACGTGCTCCTACCCATTTTGCTCTGAGTCCCTTCCTGCCAGCAGCCTGCTAGGGAACAGCCCTTGCTTTACTCAACTTCGTGTGAGGCATTAACTAAGTTTCCTCCCACCCATCCACCTGCAGGCACAAACCCCTGGACCCTGCAGGTCCTGGAGCAGGTAAAAGGGGATCATGAAGCCCTTTGGGGTGTGTGTATGTGTAGTGCCAAATGCCTTGGTGGGGGAGTTGGCAGGAAAAATAGCCCTAAATCCAGTTTCTACCCGTATTTCCAGCAACCACGTCTAGTTCAGCTTTCTCTCCCCGCCCCCGCCCCCCGCCGTGGGCCAGGCCCCGTGGGGATGTTAGGGAACAAGCCCAGTTCTCTCTCCAGGACAATGCGGCTGGCACCGGGGAGCCTGGGCCGGGGGCGGGGCGGGGCCTCCCCGTGTGGTCGTCGCACTCCCTCCTCCGCCTTCTGCGGGCGAGGCGGCGCGGGCGCGGGGGGCCGGGCGGGAGGAGCTGGGGTCGGTCTGGTTCCCAGCGAGGCCCTCCCCGCCGCGAGAGAATCGTCTGGGCCGGGGAAGGAGGAGGGAGGGAGAGGTTGGGCCTCAGCGGGAGCCCCGCCGCCCGCGCCCCCCTCGCCTTCTTACCTTCGTTCAGGGCTCGCACTCCGGGCCGCCGTCTCCAGGCCGCCGTCTCCAGGCTGCTCTGTTTGGCGCCCCCGGTTGCTAGGCAACCGCCCCCTCCCCTAGCAGCCACCGCCGGCCACTGGGTTGAGTTCGGCCACCAGCTGGGCGTCCTGGGCGGCGTCCGCAGAGGCCTCTAGGGTAGGCGAGGGGCGCCCGGCCGGGGGTT